TCTCTCTCCTCTTTAGATATTGATCTTTCCATGGATTTCAACTTTTCTCACTGATTATGGGCATTTTACCTGAACATTTTCTTCATTTTCCATAGCTACAGCTGCCATACACATCTCTTAGTATTTCTTACTGTTTATTGGAAATCTCCAACTGGATGGTTCTTAAGTACTTCAAATTCAATATGTGCACAGTCAGATCAATTTCCTTCCTTTTTCACCTGTTGCCCTTCTTATTTTATCCACTGAGGTGTATAGGAAGTGGATGAAAAGAGAATTTTTAGTGTCATAGTAGACTCACATTCCTTTGGGGCTCCACCTCCAATTAGTTGCCAATTCTGGTTGATTGAATCTACTAAGTACTCATAGCATTCCCTCCTCCCTGTCCCTAGAGTACATGTGAAAAATTCAGTTCTTTGTCTCCACTTCTGATCTTTCTAGAGGGTACCTTGACTTCTGTTCCCCTACATCCTACCTTCAGCCTTTCCTTCACACTGCATCAAGTATGATCAACACCCTGGGCTAATCATGCACAAAAATCTACTGCGGTAAGGTTTTCTAATTTGTTTCTCTATGGAACCATTTTTATTTCACTTTTTGAGAAAACTTTTCTTTCAGAATATCTCTTTACTGTACTGGGCAGTGGTGTACATTATTATTTTATTTTTATCTGAAATGCTTTCCTCTGTCTTTTCTGCCAATGAAAATGTTACCCTGGCTTACAAGGTCATTATGAATGTGATTTCTTCTTTTTCGATAGCCAAGTAGAAAGTGGTAGTGATTTCTTTCTCCTCTGAATTAGAATAGTCCGTACCTCTTATTTAGCAATTGGTACTTGCTGTCTTTCTTTCTTCCTTCCTTCCTTCTTTCTTCCTTCCTTCTCTCTCTTTTCCTTTCCTCTTTCTTTCAATATTTCTTTTTCTTCTTCCCTCTCTCCTTCCTCCCTTCCTTTTTCCTTCTTTCCTTCCTTCATTCTTTCCATCCTTCCCTCCCTCCATCCCTTCTTTTTTTTCTTTCTTTTTTCTTTCCTTTCCTTTTTGAAACCAGGCTCACACCTTAAGTTTCTTTCACTCCCCAGAGTGACTAATTCAAGTCTTGAACCTATTATTCAGTATTTAGCAAGTTGTTTTTAATTTTTTAGGTTTCATGGTTAATGCTATATTACTTATTATGATTATGTTATTTGTTGTTCTTTTATTTTCTTAGGGGAAAATTTTAGCAATGAAATTATGTGTTGGAGATATAAATATTGTCATGGCTCTTAGTGCAGTTGTTCAGGTTGTTTTATAAAAGGATTATTATCAATTTAGTATCCCTAGAAGTATGTTCTATTTATTCTTTGTTTTGTTTTATCCTTTGCCATATATTTTAGTATCTCATAGTTCTGCAATTTATAATAAGCCTTATACATTTTATTAACCCATTATTGTGTCAATCTAATTTTTCCCTTTTCATTTTAGTTTCTCTCCTTTTCACGTGCATTGGTTTTAAATTTTTAAAAATTGGATCTCTTTATTTTTTTCCTTTATGTTACTTTTTATTGATTTGAATGTGAAAAGTTGCTATTGCCCACAGGTGTGTCATAAATATTCACGTTTACTTTCTGTAAGCTTATTTTACTATGTCATTACATCACTAAAGACTCTGTGGAAGAATGTCCCAAAGTGCTTTGGGGAATCCCTTTCCTGCCTTTAATAGCACCATGAAAGCCATCCGTTTACACTTGTGCCTCCCAGGTAGGTTATGAAATGTCGCAGTGCATATCTGAGTTGGCTCATAAAGTGTAATGTCCAGAAGGTATTTTATTCTGTAAATAATCTATCATGCAGTTAAATTCAGTTCACTTTCAGAAGCTACAATATGTATTTGAGTCCTGGATTTTGCTGTAATTCATGATAGTGAAAATTAATTGCCAGAATTTTCTACAAGAAAGTATATATTCTAGAAAAAAGAAATATATTACAGCTGTCTCTCATTGAAGATACTTCTGAATATGTCACATTTTGATCTTAAAGGAATTTTAGAGGAGGTCCTCACCAGCATTAGTAATATGAAGGGTTCAGATGAGGTTATTTTTAACCTGAACCAAGTAATGTCAGCTAGAATTTATAAGTTACCTGTTTTAGCCTGTGAAAAAACTCCAACAATAACAGGAAGTGGGGAAATTGCTAGATCCCCCAATGTGGAGTTTTATGGAAGAACACCTTCAGAGCTCAACCAGGTAATTAGTACCACATTACCAGATATTTCCAATGGTGCTTAGTGAACTTATTTTAAGTGAAAATATTTTAGTTTCATAATAGAAGTTAATGGCAAAAAACCAAAAACCATGAACTCTTTGGTATCTTAAAAATAATAGAGTGTGCTTACAAAACTATTTTATCCTCAAGCTTACTGAAAATACTTAAATTTTTCTGGGAAGAAATCTTCATATTTTGACATTTTAGGAGGTATTGGTTAGATTCAAATATAATTTTTATTTTATTTCCTTTCTTTATTGTAATTATTTTATCTTTCTCTTTGATTAAAAGCAAATATTAGTCTTTGGCATTTATAAATGCCACAGCAATTTTGGTAGATACTGCATTTCTTGCTACTTGTTGGGTGTGTTGAATACCCACAGAACACCCTGCAAAGTGCAGGGTATGTCTCATCATAGATTATTTTTGACTTGAACAAATTAAGGCAAAACTGACAAGTTTGTACAGTTGGTGCATGGCGATACATGCCTGTAGTCCCAGCTACTCAGGAAACTGAGGTGGGTAGTAACGCATTTCACCATGTTCGAGGTTAGCCTGAGCAAGTATCAAGACTCCCTTTTCAAAAACAAATAAACAAAGAACAACAACCACACAAAACCTGGCAGTATGTTAACTAGCCAGCAAGTTGTTATGTTTTGTAATTTCTGGTAGTACCTCTAAGTAGACTTTTATGCCATTTCCTTTAAACCACCTAGATCTTTGTGGTCTTTCCGTCCTTGTTTAACTTCACCCATCATTAAACTTTGGGCTAACAAGAGTAGCCCAAATTGATCACAAACACCTTAGGTTTTGGGTTTTTTTTTTTTTTAATAGAAATTTACTTTTACTTCATTGTTGCAGTAGAAGTTATACCAAAAGACTGTGGGGTAGCATAGTGTGTACCAGAGGAAGTTAGGTTATGGTAATTATAAGTCTTCATATTGGTACTTTTGAAAGGCATTTAACACACATAAATCATGTCAGAACTTAAATGAAACTTAAAGATCATTCTCTGAATGAGATTACAGTTGATCTTTTTTTAACTTCATTTTTTTTATTGTTGTGCTGGTTGGGGGTACATTGTGGCATTTACAAAGGTTCTTATAGTATATTAAGAGTATCATACTTGAATTCACCCCTTCCACCATTCTCCTTTATCCCTATCTCTGTAATTGATCTTTTAACTCTAAGCAAGAGATTAAACACTAGATATCCAAAGCTATTTACCAAACCAAGACTGTATTCTTCTTATTCAGAATAATCATCTTGGTTAACTTACAATTATTGCTGATATTAGCATATTAAATTCAGTTCTCTATATCCATGGATTTCATATCCATGGAGCAGATCACTTTGATCTCTACTCTGGTGTGTGTGTGTGTGTGTGTGTGTGTGTGTATATGTGGCTAGGGAAACCAACTCAGGGCTTTGTGCATGCTAAGCAAGCACTCAATCATTCAACTCTATTCCCAACCCCTCTACTGTCTAAAAACCTCGTGAGTATTCATTTGACAGATAAATAAACCACCACCCAGAAATCTAGAGGATTTGTTCAAGGTTACATGTTTGGAGAGGCCAGCCTTGAGCCTGAATTTCCACTGCTACATTCATAACATCCTTTTAGAAACTTTCAAAAACATCACTATAGAGGAGATCTCATATATATATACTTAAATCCTGGGAAAAACAGGACAAGTTGTGATCTACCAGGTGAAGAGAAAGGAGGTAATAATGTATATGTATACATGTTAGAGTGAAGTTTTTAAATTTTCAGAGTAAATGTTAGATAACATGTATAACTGTTTTTTTATTTTTTAAACTCTAGCTCAGTTATTTTTATGTGAATATTTAATTCTGTGGCCTTACATGATTGCATCATTAATTTAAAAATGGGACAAGGACTTAGAAAAAATAAAGAGGTTGTGTTGGATTAGGCCTCATCACTTTACCTGCAATTATAAAGGCTTTTTAAGCATTTTCACCTACTCCTGGTTAAAAGATTTATTCACATAGAAAAAAGATTATGAAATGTCCAATTTCAAGATGCCTTGACATAACTTTATGAAATAAATATTTAGAGTCAGTCATTTTACAATTAGACATTTTCTGCTAAGGAGGCTTTTACATGAAACCTTATTATATTTATTTTAAAGTCAGTGTATGGAACTTCAGTTCACATGTTGAACAGTCTCTAATAAGAATTTTTATTGTGTGTGGACTGCAATGGTCTGCACTATACAGATGGCAGAAGAGGAAGAGAGATGATTTTACTTGCTTTTGAAATTTTACTTGCCTTTATAGAATGTTTAGTATCATACTCTCATCAGATTTATAAGTTACATAACTATTTTAAGAAGCTATGTTCTGATCCATTTTTAGTTTTGAAATTATCTCAAGTAGCAGATGTAGGTACCTCTGGTTTTGAAGTTTTCTGCAAATTTAAATATCACTAAGTCCCAAAGCATAGTTTCCATTTTGAATTCAATTTCATACCTTTCTGAGACTGATTCAAACATTTGATATTTTTGTCAGCAGCCTGAAAACAAAGGAAAAATGATGATTTTTTTTCCTTCCCAGGATGCCAATTGGTTGCTGACAGAACAAGATTAGAAGTCAGAAAACTTTTTCATTAAGTATTAAAATCCTGCTTCCATTGTTTTAAAAATCACAGCTAATCTCACCCCTCAGTAAAAGAGACAAAATAGGAAAAAGAAATGAGTGTACTGTAGTATAAAATTGAAACATTTCTCTCTTTCCTAGGAGAGAGTTATGTGTGTGGCTCAATAGAACCTTTCAAGAAACTGGAGTATACCAAGAATGTGAACCCCAACTGGTCGGTGAATGTCAAGACCACCTCGGCTTCCAGAGCGGTGTCTTCACTGGCCACTGCTAAAGGGAGCCCTTCAGAGGTGCGGGAGAATAAGGATTTCATTCGGCCCAAGCTGGTCACCATTATCAGAAGTGGGGTGAAGCCACGAAAAGCTGTCAGGATTCTGCTGAATAAGAAAACAGCTCATTCCTTCGAGCAGGTCCTCACTGATATCACTGATGCCATCAAGCTGGACTCGGGTGTGGTGAAACGCCTGTACACCTTGGATGGAAAACAGGTAAGGCTGGTGTCTATTGGGGCACTAGTGCAATGCAGCGAGGGCCTGCAGCATACATTTCACTAATGTTTAGTTAGCAAACGTGTACCAGTTAATCTCACAACCAGTCCAAGGTTGGTGTGTTGGGCAGGATTAATCAAAGAAATACAGGATGAAAAGAAGCTATCTTTGAAGGTTAAATGATTACTCAGGCATTTCTACTTCTTCAGTTATTTGCTTAGCAGAATGATGCTTTTAACTCATCTGTTTTCAGTCTTGTCCTATATCTTATAGCCTTATGCATGACTGAGTTGCACATATAAACTTTAACTAGTAGAGAAAAATCTGAAGTATTTTTTGACCTAAATAATATTTTATGATTTTGTATTTCAGGGATGTTCACTGATGAGATTTATTTAAATTTTATGACTTTAAAAATATATACCTAAGTTAAGACCACATTTCCATATGGATGGCTTAAAGAGGATATTTCTAGAATATTATTCATCTTGTATTTGAAACATAGTTTCAGAATTAAAATGAGAAGAGAGTTGTTTCTATAACTATAGAATAGACTTCTGTTGACTTGAATGAGTGGACATTTCAGTGTGAGCTGATCAAATGAAAATAAAGGAAGCATTACCTTTCAGGGGCTTGAGTAGATTTTTGTAAAGGTTTGACAGAACTCTGATGCTGAGCTGAATTTAAAAAAAATCACTGATTACTGTTATATGCCCACTGTGATTTTCGTAACAGTAGCTTTTTGTTTAAGATGATCATTTCTAGCATTTAGCAATTCTACTTGAAGTGTAATTTTTAATGTGGTTCTATCAATGTGCCTTTTTAATTTTAAGGAAGAATTTGAATGATTTTTATGTATAGCTCATCCTAAAATTAAAACTGGATTCATAAATTACGAGATTGTTTTTATTAACTAGGCTAATGTAAGTTTTTAAAGGCTAACTCATGCTTTATGAATTTGAATAGCTGCTAACACTAGAAAGAGTGTTACTCATGAAAGAATTATTCCCCTAGGGATCCATTTAAATGCTCTAACTTATAAAAATTCATTAGGAAAGAAGGAGTGTATGCCAGTTGTTCATTTATATTGACCAGTCTTCTGCTTGTCTCATAAAACTTGCATGTATATAAGGATTCCTAGGAATGAGATTCTCAGTCTTGTAGAAATAAGAGCCTAAATATCATCAATATATTAGTGACCAGAAAGTCCACTGCTGACTTGTGAATTATGGTAGCAGTAAGGTGTAAACTTCACATTTAAACATTTAAGCCCTTCACTGGTTCCTCTCCTAATGAATTGCTCAACCATCTGTAGTTTGAATTTTTGTGTGTTGAGTTTTCTCAAGATGGGAGCTTATTGCTGGGGGTGAGGCTCAAATGGTAGAGTGCTTATCTAGATGGGGGTTTATCTATTTTCATAAAAAATAAAATTTAAAATGAAGAACATATATAGCTAATTCTTCCCCTCCTCTCATTTCAGAATTTGCTGTTTCAAGTTGTTATATAACTAAGTCTAAAAATCACCTTTTACTACTTTAGTTAATGTCTATACCAACTAGTACAGTTTTCTTTTTTTTTTTTTGGTGACACTATGATTTGAACTCAGAACTTCACACTTGCTAGACAGCTGTTCTACCAGTTAAGTCATGTCTCCAGCCCATTTTTCTCTGGTTATTTGGAGATAGGGTTTTGTTTTTTGCCCAAGCATGCTTGAACCCAGACTGTCCTATGCTAAGCTTCCCACTGTCACTGGAATGACAGATGCATGCCAGTACACCCACCTTTTTTCTGTTGCAATGGGGTCTCACAAACATTTTGGCCCTGGCTGGCCTTGAACCACGATCCTCCCGATCTCAGCCTCCCAGGTAACTAGATTATAGACATGAGCTACTGGTGTCTGGCTTAATTTTCTTTATCTTAAGAGTGATTTTAGAATAGATACTATGATATTCTCAGTTGTTTTCTTCCTTTCTTAGTTCCTTTAATGTCCATATTTTATAATAACCTGTATTTTTGTTATGGTTTACATGTAAATAATCCAATGTAATAGGAAAGAATCCTAGATTTAATGTCAATGTCAAAAGACTAGGATTCAAATCTTGGCTTATCCATAGATGATTTATATTTTCTTCAAAACACATAACTGAACCTCATTATACTCACCAGTAAAGCATATATGAGACTATCACTCCTGTCTCAAAGAGCACTTACAAAATCAGCTATGATGGTACATGTGAAAGGAATTTGAACTATAATGGTAATGCTAATAGCTCTATAAAGCATTATTTTAAATTCCTTGCATGTATTAGCATGTTTAATCCTCATAACAACTCGATTATTATTCTTATTTAACAGATGAAGATATCATAAATGGTGGAGTTAGAATTTGAACTGGTCTCACTGCAGAGTTTGTGCTGGTAACCATTGTACCCAGGGCAGATTATTTTAAAGCACAAAGCACGTGTAAATATACTTTTAAGTGAGTTGGATTAGGTAGCTTTCTGTCACTATTATGAAAAGTCTGAGATACTTAAGTACAAAGAGAAAAGTGTTTATTTTGGCTCACAGTTTTGGAGATCCATGATGGATTGGCCACAGTCTTTTGAGCCTGTGGTGAGACACCATGATATCATGGGAACATACAGTGAGCAAAATCATTGATCTCATGGCCAGGAGGTGAAAGAAAGTGAGGAAGGGGTCAAGCCTCATCTCCAGTGACCTAAAGACTTCTCACTAGGCCCTGCCTCTTAACCATTCAAATCACCTCCTGATATCACTCCTGTTCCCCTGCCCTGGGGTCTAGGACTCTTAAGAAATCGGTCTCTGGAGACCTTCAAGAACCAAACTATAGCAGGAGTAATTTGTCAAAGGAATATCATTGAAAGTTTTCCGAATATTTTTTTTCTACAGTCATTCTGCTAACTGTTGTACTTGACTGTTGTCAAGCATACAGTTTGCTGTCATGACATTTTCTCTACTGCGGCCTGTTCTCTTCATAACAGGAGCATTGAAAGCTGACGAAGCATCAGATGATAAAATGGAAAGAACATAAAAACTTTTTGCCTGGGTTCCCAGTGGGAACAAAAGTGCTTCTTCATGGACCCCAGGAGTCTTTAGAATTGTTTCAGTTCAAAAGACAAATCTGCCCAATAAGCAGTTTGTTTGAGTAGAATTTTTTGACAGCCCTGGCAGAGGCTGAGGCTTGATAAGCCTTTGAGGATAAGTAAGCCATTTTCCTCCAAGCCATCCTGCAGAATATTTGGCATAGCGGGTGGCATCTTATCCTGCCCATGGTGGTACTGGGCTCATACCCTGCTGACAAGACACCACCCTTAACATCACTTGTCCTGCTGCTTCTACTCTTAATAGCTTGTCCAAGCCTTTGCATCAAATCTGTAAACACTATGGGAAATCTACCACCCCATAACAAATGTAAAGGTAACTTTTTTTGTATTGGGGAAATAGAACTGCTTAAAAACGAATAACAAGTGTTCTTGGTAAATGAACAGTGAGGACGATATGTAGTAATGACTTTTCACAGTACCTTCAGGCAGTCTGCAGATGTATTCACCACGGATGGAAACTGTCGATGCTGGGCTTTTAACAATAGAACTGTGGTAGCTTGTGCCTGCTGTTTAATATGTTACAAGAGGAAAGGGGCACTGGAGGACACAGACCACATGGTGGTGTTGCCTTTTGGGTCTGCATTAAGCACTAACCCAGGAATTCATCCTATGACTCCCTTCTGAAACTTTTAGGCTGAGATAAGAAAAGCAACATAATGGAACTTCTGCACCATGTAGAAAAGATTTTGCAGAAGTTGCAGTTAGCCAACCATGGTGGTTCATGAGTAGCCTGTTTGAGAGCAAACCCTTTCTAATGAGTGTAGCTTCATTCCTTATTCAAGGACACCAAGATTCCATGACAGCTATGCCACAACCTTCCCTCCCACCTCCTCCGAACTTTAGGGGTGACTCTGTTCACCATGTCATCAGGCCCCTTGCTGACATGGCTGGGGAGTTCAAGGATATACTTTCTGCACCCTATTTTCAGTGATGCATTAATTATCTGGGTCTTGATGAAGGCCCCACCATGAAGGAAATAGGGCATTTGCAAGTGGAGGGTTAAAATCACATCCCTTTCTTCTTATGTGATGGGACTTGCAGAATCTGAGAGCCTCAGCATCTCTTCTTGCCACACTGTAGGTCTGGATATTGGAGCTTTGCTGGGTTTATTCACTCACCCTGCCGAGTAGCCACTCCCAGAGGTCATTCAGGGTATGACTATTTTTAAGTAATTATAATCAGCTTCAAAGGTGTAAGATTTGCTGCAAAGATACCCTTGCATAGCTTGCAAATCCTTTTATGGAAAAGCAAATCTGGTTGTCTGCAGCTGCTAAATCAATGACTATCGAATCCTTCTTTAGTAACATAAAGAACAGCCCATCTTAGAACAGTTAATGCCTAAGCAAGAAATTTATAATATAAAAATCATAGATAAGGTACTTCCCAATGATCCCCTCTCCTCTCTGAAAAATAGCAATGATAAACTAGATTGTTCTTTAAATAGAAAATATAGGCTCATCTCCATCTTATCTATTCTCTGACATTGAAGATCTGCACAACATTATACCATACTTACATAGTAGAAGAAAACTCAGGGATATTTTATCTTTATCTTATAGGCATTTCATGTAAGCCACACACTTCATAAAATCTACCACTGCTAGCATGCTAGCATGAGCAATTTGTTGTTTTCCTAATATAGAAAACCCTAGGAATCATTCAGCTGAAGGGCAGTACTCCCTACCCCTTAGCTGTGGTTTTGCTTTTCCCTAACATTTGATTTAGATGCCAAACTGAGAACAGGTATGATAGCTGCCATGTTGAGAAAATCTCAGTAGCTGTCAATAAATTATCAGTTACATCTTCTCTGTATCTTCTTTTTCCTTTCCTTTTTTTTTTTTTTTCTCAACTACTGGGGATTAAACTCAGGACCTC